CCAGCGAATAGGTAGGGGAAAAAAGAATTTGATGAAACGAAAAAGTGACACTAAAGCATATCAATCTACAGCAGCCTTTCCCACAGTGGGCGCTAACGCGCCCTTGTGGGCACTACAGGCCTAAAGAGGGACAATAACAGACCCAGAAAAAAAGGAGGCGTTGTGCAGAGGCTTGGGAGCCGATTTGTAATTTCATCAAGGACTCTTAGACACCGATTGAGCGCTCGTTATAGTGGTTTTTAAGAAAGGGAAAAAATGAGGATGCTAAAAAAGAATTTATTCTTAAAGTAGGCAGTAGACTAAATAGGTTTGGGTACCCCTGATCTACAGGATTCAGTTTTCCAAAGACCGAGACAGTTTTATCATGTTACCGGGTGTCAATCGTATATATTCATTGTATTTGTGTAATGAAGAGAAGATATTACGCTAAAGATTCGATCTTACGCTCGCGATTTCTTGAAAGGCAAGAATAGTTCAAATTTAGTATCGACCAATGAAACTATTGTGTTCAATATGATTAACATTGTATTTCCATGAGAGACGAACATCTGTTATTAAAACACGTTGATTCCGTACGTTTTTATGTTTTAATAATATTTATGAGAGGCATCGTATGAACGGAGAACGTTTAGTGATGACGTAACGCATTCAGAAGTAGGAGGGGAGGTTACTCTTATCTATTTCAGTGAGGCGTGTTTCTGCGGTAACGCTAGCATACGACACCGGTCTCCTCGTGTTAACTGATTACCGGAGCCCATAGACATCTACAACGTAAATCCCGCCACCCACCTTGAGATATGAGTTCTAAGGTCTCAGTATAGTAACAACGGCTGCCCCAGCTCTCAAGCCGCGAAATAGGCAGGGTGGTGGTACCTACCCGTGTGGACTCACAAGAGGTCCTACCACCAGTAATTACACAAATTATAACTTTGCGGGTTTGATTTTTATTACACGATGTTATTCCTTCACCGTGGAAGTAAATCGTGAAAATTTATTAAATACGTATTTCATTAGGAAAATTGGCACCCGCCTGCGGGATTCGAACACTGGTGCATCGGTACATACTAAGGCAGCAGACGTCTTATCCCTTAGGCCACGACAACTTCAATGTAATTTTTTTTTTTTTTTTAATTTAATAATATAATTTTATTATTTCAATTTATATTATATTTCCCGTCATCCATCCGCTGTAGTGAAAGACAACTCATATTTACAAGGTTTCCTGGCAATTTTACAAAGCTCGACTGAGGGTAACTCGGCACACGTGACATATATTAATACAAAACGATTAGCCACATGTGACGCCACGCTATGTGATTCTTGTTGGGTTAGAGGTGAAAAAATGTCTAAATACACTTTTCTTAGCGCTTAAATATACGATTCATTAATTTTCCACGAAAATACTTGTTGGGTGAATGTTTCAATAAAATTAAGATTGCTTATTATAACTCTACAATTATTTATATCAACTTATATCCCACTAATTGTTAATTAAATTACATACAATATACAGCCACACAATTATAATGCAGTCCGTTTACGTGCAATTTGTGTGTGTGTGTGTGTGTGTTTTCTTTCAATTTAAATCAATAGGCGGCGACTACACGCTTCAGAATCGTAAAATTATATATTTTTATTATATCCTAACGAGCGTTTATAACGGTATATATTTTGTTTATTGTATGTATATATTTTCTATAATACTGTATTATCTATAGTACACCGCAACATACCTATTATATTTTCTTTTTTTTATGTTTTCCAGAATTTCTATAAATTAAACGGTTGCCTGGAAGAGATCGCTTTTAGCGATAAGACCGCCTATTGTACAAATGTATCTGCTTTTTTTTATTGTTTTTGAATGTAAATTGTGTTTTGGTGTGCAATAAACTGTATTCTCTCTCTCTCTCTCTGACACGCTTCATTGAAACTACCATTAAATGTACGAAGAACGATATTTAAAGGGTTTCGATGATATTTATACAAGCCAATTGAAATTTTGACCTTATGTCTTAAGTTGGGTGAAGCCATTCGCGTTACGATATCTGATCGACTTCCTGTAAAAGTGGCCGCGATCTCTTTTACCTATCAAAGGAATAAATTAAGATAAATAACTAAAAACTCATTATGGAATATTACAGATTACAATAAAAACGACTCAAAATATAACTTATTAATAGGTAAAACTATTACTATTAATGGAATGCGTCACTATCAACGTTAAAGATGTCTGTCCGCGGAGATGTTTCTCGAAATAAAGTTGAGACACGCAATGATGAGCCAAAATTAGTAAGATGCCGGTCCATAAACAGTTTAAATCGATTAGGGAACGAGTTTGGGCCCGAGAGGAGGGGTTATTTGAAACATTCAAATCTGTCTGAGTTATAAAATTATACATTTACTTTCTTTACCGTCGACTGCATACATTCATTCGGGACTTTGTTATATAGCATAGACGGATGAGCAAGTTCTGACTATGAAAGTGGGCGCTAACATCAAGAGGGGAAGTCCTAATAGACTTTGAATAGACTCCGTGAAAGACGATATCCAAGAGACTGCTAAGATGACTTGAATAGACAAATAGGACTTTCAGCATGAGTTCGTAGACTCAATTTTATAGGGCAACGACTGCCCCATCCTAAAAGCCGAAACGCATTACTACTTCACGGCAGAAATAGACAGGGTGGTGGTACCTGCCCATGCAGCCTCAGGACGCCCAACCCAAAAACGAACGAAGAAATAATACTATAAATAAATAAACAGCATATCGTCGCTGTCAAACCAAAATCTGCTATGTGCAAAAACTCTATTTTGAATTAACGAGTCAAAACATTATCGTATACAATTTTATATGAAGGTGAATTTTTAAGAACTATATCAAATGAAAGCTATAGATAAATATTAAAGCTATAGACACAACAGTTTTTTTATACGGTAGATAGGGTTGTGAAATATACGAAAAGGTCAAAAAGTAAAAATCTCAAAAAGTGCACATAATAGATTTTGGTTTGACAACAACGTCATGCGATAATCTAAGTTATAAACTATCTTTATTTCATCAAAATCCATCTGTGATTTTTGCGTGTAAGTGTAAGAAACATCTCTTCATCTTCACAAACTCTCGCATTTATAATTTTTTACATTAGTAGATTAGTAGGGTATAGTGTAACCCAATTATATACATCCACTATATTACCATATTTCGTTGTTTCATCACGAAACTCGAACATTCTTTTAGGACAAGTGGCATCTATCCAACTAGCCGACTCAGCATCTTACACTCAATAGCCAAGCGTTTTGTGGCATTTTTGGCAAACTGTGATAATTAAACTCGGTCTTTTTTATCGGTCGAAAAGAAATTATGCTTTCCACGTGATGGTGCATAATTATGGGTCATGAACACCAGCAACACCGGGGGCACAGCCAAGATGCTGCTGTAAAAACGTTGATAGCATCAACAGGGTATAACACTTTCTATACTATACCCATCAATAGTTAAGCCAATGAATTCACCATGAGCCACGTAGTTTAATTCCCGACGGAACCTATTCTCGTTATTCTACACGAACATTCCTATCGATTAAGGTAATAATTCTATTTTCGTATACATGTTTATATCTGGACCAGTATTAAGATCGTTCAGTTCATTTTAGCGCATAAATGTGTGGCCTACGGCTGCACTACTGCAAAGTTGATGAAGCATTACACCGGCACACAAAAAAAATATGTCTGTACACCGGGCGCCAACGGCATCTACGGGCATGTTTTTCGACCCGCTGAATACGAATTTTAAGTCAGTCTAGGCCGTCCAGCCTTCAATTTCAAGTAAATTGCAAAAAACCCCAAAAGATAGCGAAAATTGGATGTTTTGGCAAGAAAAAAATATTGTGATCTAAGGCTAGCATAATTTTTATGTATTTTGATCTGTTAAATACTAATTTCGATCGTACTTTAATTATCGTGTCGCTGCTTTGGGAGGGCTTGGATCACAGAAATGTAATAAAAATCTGTTGGTCTACGTTAATTCTGAGATCAGTGCTCCCGATTACGGGGTCCAGATGCGAATCCTGACAGGAGTCAGTATCTTTTCGAAAGGTATTTCGGTTTTGGGCGTTTTTTTCCTGTTTTTATTTCTGGTAATCATAACGCAGGAGAAAACTTTAGTGTGTATTACTAGTGAAGTCCGGTTTTATGATTTTACGATTATTGAATTTACTTGCGCGCCACTTATTTTATGTTAGTGGTACTAAGTTAGAAACCTCCGTTAGNTGCGAATCCTGACAGGAGTCAGTATCTTTTCGAAAGGTATTTCGGTTTTGGGCGTTTTTTTCCTGTTTTTATTTCTGGTAATCATAACGCAGGAGAAAACTTTAGTGTGTATTACTAGTGAAGTCCGGTTTTATGATTTTACGATTATTGAATTTACTTGCGCGCCACTTATTTTATGTTAGTGGTACTAAGTTAGAAACCTCCGTTAGAGTGTCAACAACTACTGTGCCAAGTTTCATTACAATCCGATGAACAGTTTAAGAACCAATAAAGGATTGATAGCTAGTGACATATTTATTTATACAGATAATTCATAAACTCGAATGTCCTTCTAGGTAGCAAAATGAATTCATTTTAAAGTATTCTTCAGGCGGAGACGACACATCGGTAATGCCAGTTTTAATCTTCTTTTTCACTTTATTTGTCGCTTCTCTTTTCTTCTCTTATTCCATTTGAAATTTGGTTTGATTACAAGTGTAATTCTGTCTGTACATTGATATAAGGTTTACAACAACAACATAAAAGAGTTTAAACAGATGGCGCGATATTTCTTTGCATCTGATTTCATTAATTCTGCCTTTTTTGTCTTTTTGTTGGTTCGGGCATCAGGAAAAAACGACAAGTCCGGTTTTAATATGACTAATTGTTAAATAATGTTTAAGATCCTGCGAATACACTGCAAAAATTGGCAAGCCCAAAATACCCGGTAGATAGATTTACTTTCGACTTACCGAGAAGCAGGAGTATAAGCGGATTCTGGAACTGCTCGATGTACTTCTTCCAGAGCGGATCTTGTTCCTTCACCTGAAACTCGTTGGCTCCAACGAAGTTCATGCGGTCGTTGGCTTCGCGCCATGACAAACCTCGGCGGACGTCGACGCTCAAACGCTCCGATACCTTCAAACGAAAGAATCGTCACCAAAAAATAAAGCAAAGCGCTATACATATACTGGGTTTTAGGAGACCACTCCCGAAATTACTAACTACACTGAGACCTTGGACTCATATCTCAAGGTGGGTGGCGGCATTTACGTTGTAGATATCTATGGGCTCCGGTAACAACCTAAATAACACTAGGTGCACCGTGAGTTTGTCCACCAATCTAAGCGATAATAAAAAAATAAAAAAATATATTCAAGAGAGCCTAAAACCGGGCTCCGTGGTACAAAGTTGGAAGAGGCCTATGTACTGTAGTAGACACGTGTGGATAATAATGATGACGTATTAACAAAGATCTGCGAAATCTACTTTTAGAAAAGAATATCTAATAAGTCTTACTATAATTTACAACAACATTACACCAGTATTGACGGACTATTATTTTAATTAATGAATTCTTCTACTTGATTATACAAAATCTGCGAACACGATCTACGATTCAACAACACGCAAAACGTCATTTTAAGTGTTCACGATGCTGTTTGTGCCTCTATCACAATTACACATCGTTAAGGCGTACCACGGAAGCAACTCGTCTGCTACTACATATAATATATGGTAATTTGTGAACGAGTGACGCTGCAAAATATGTGTATATTCATCGAAAATTTCCCTCTGTCGATTCCGAATTCGTACAAACAAATTCCTTTCTGATCAAAAAAATCATGCATCTTTTTTATTTCCTAACTATTCGCTGGTAACCTAAGGGATTATTCCAAATACGCCCGGACGGGTAGAATTTGGTAACACTAGCCCTAGCAAGAGCAGTGCTTCACAGAATCTACAACAGACATCTTCGCAGAATCGCAAACCACTTAAAAAGACCTGGCAAAAAAGTCAGTATGTATCAAAAACATAGCACTGAGAGCACCGAGAGATCCTAAAATAGCTCACCATTAAATTAAATCTAAATTCACTGATAATAACGCAGAAACGCTCAATAAAATCTTTACTAAAAACGAAACCGAAAACAAATCTAAAGCTATAAAAATCACATTAAAATCAAAACGAAGGGCACCTTCGACTGGTTTCAAACAAAAGGATTAAACATAGTAAACAAAAACAATTTCATTCGTTTATTGTTCAAACATCAAAAGGCATTACGTAAATGAGACAAACAATCGCTTGCAAGCACACGAAACGTTAAAACATCTCGCAATATAGCAACATAATGGAACAGATACAGCAAACAATATAAGTAATTGCTGGAACTATGACAACGAACAACGTTCTTCATGCCTTGTTTTCTTTTGAAGCTTAAGAAGAGATTATCGGTAGCAAATTGTCTTAGGTTGAGCCCGTGAGCTCAGCTACCAGACCGGTCACCGTCGTCGTCGAACCCGTAGCTTGCGACGAAGGGCTCGACGAGCCAATTAACCCACAGACACAGCCCACTGAGTTTCTCGTCGGATCTTCTCAGCGGGTCGCGTTTCCGATCCGGTGGTAGATTCTGGGACTGCTCTTGCTAGGGTCAGCGTTACCATCACTCCGGTATGAGCCCCGTGAGCTCACCTACTAGTTAAGGTCACGCTGAAATGGCCTCTCAAGGCTATCAGCTTAGTTAGAAAAAAAAGGGCTACCAGCGAATAGATATAAAAAACATATCTAAGATAGATTCATCCACAATATACATACTAGTGTTCACTCAATGGTTCACTCACTCGACCGCAATGACTGACTCAAGATTTACTAATAATTTATTTATAATACTTTTTAAGTATTAAATTTTTTCTATTGTTTGGTTCTTGACTTTTTTTTGTAAATATGAACAAAACTTTTCTTATTGGTAACACTAAAACTTGTCAAAAGTTGCTAAACAAAAAAAAAGAATGAAAATCGGTTGACAAAAACGAGAAGGTATCCTCATATATGTATTTGTATTTGTCAATTTCTACATAGATAATATCAAAGACAAATGTCAATGGCAATGTCTGAAAGTACAAAAATTCTGTCATACCATTAGACGACCATAATCCACATTGCATTTCAGGGTTTTTTATTTACCTATGCATTCCCTGCCACTTTACCTTCATGTCGTTTCAATTTATCCTCTAAAAATAGACCAAACACAAAATGCGTAGTAATCAATCGAAGCGCTTAACTCTATTATAATATAATAAAGTCATCATACTTAGTAATTCGAATGTAATTTAATAGATTATAACCACAAGACGATAAAAATCGATATTCATAACGTCGATGTTAACCTCCAAACAATGTTGCCATGGAGTCCTTATAATTAGTGACCTAAATGCTATGGTAAAAGAAATGATAAGCCTTGGCCTAAAACGAAATTGGCTTGTGAAGAAATTTTGTATCCAACATTGTAAATAATTTAACTTTCATAAATTCATACCATATTTTATAGGTTCAACAACATAATCAAATGCGTTCGTAAATGAGCAATATCAATATCGATACTAATGGGAATATGTAATGGAAAACAATATGTATAGGATTGAAATTGAAGATTTGATAGACCGCGATGCTCTCTAAGATTCGTCTAATGGAAAAGAATCAGAGCTCAAAATAAAAAATGATACATCACCACATGAAGTCTGTAGAAATGAAGTCTTAATTAACAAAAATCTCTGTTAAGTCGCTGTACTGAGTGGAAGATATATATGTTCTATCGGGTAATTTATTAATAAGTCTAATAAGCAATAATCAAATAATACATTAGATGCAAAGCGTCTATTGTCTTACGCACGCCGTTTAAGATTTCTAAACCGACCAGATAGTTGGCCTGAGTTATGTACGTTTAGTTTATGTTTATCTGTAGTTTAGTTATGTATATTTTTTTTCCAATCGTTACATTTTGATTCATAATTATCTAGTGATTCTTATTCTTAAATAGATATATATATAGATAAATGGATTAAATAGATCCTTAATTATCTATTCATAATTATCTACCTTCCTTTATATGACTTTATCATTTCCAAAGGCTACTAGATGTATTTACGAGATACAGTTTCTGTTATCACGATATTAACCGATGCTTAATTTTTATTCAGAGCAGAAATATCTATCATCTCTTTGATACACAATATCAGCATCAGATAGGGATAAGATTGTTTAAATTAATAAACTATCGCCTATTCATTATAATTTTCTGCTGTAATCATATCTGTTTATATCGATTCGTATATTATCATTTTTCATAAAGTTACGGTTTTTATATGTATTATTATTAGATCAATTAAAACAATTTTTTTTTTTTTTTAAAAAAAACTCATCTATAGTAATATATAAATCTACAGTGGTTTTTACGGATGTTCCGTTATAACTACTGAATCATGCATCCGATTGACTTGAAACTCGGTATCCATGTAGAAAATATATGTACTTAATGGATAGGCTAATATTTATACGAGTGTTGGACTCCCTACATCAGTTGCGGGGGTGTTAATGATGAGAATGTATGTGAGGGTGAGAAATAATAATGTTAATTTTAAATGTCCAGCGAAGCGGTAGGGTACAGCTAGTACTTTATAAAACATTAGACACAATTATAGGTATAATGTATTTCAAAAAATTAAATCAAGACATTGATGTATACCATACTTTCCGCAAGTCTCGTTTGAAGAATGACATGTCATAGCGCTCGGGAAGCACCGTGGCGGGGAGCTCATTCCAAAGCCAGATGGTACATGGCAAAAAAGAATGCCAATGAAATATCAGTTAACTAATAAGCAAGCTAAAGAGCAATCAAACAGCAATAACCCTTTATCCGACACACTGGAAAGATATACTGAAACCTACTAAAGGGGATCGTTCAATTTGCGGACAGACTTAATATCTATTCGACCTTTGAGATACTAATCACGAAATTCATTCAGAAATATCTTTTTTGGGTCACGTTGAAGGCGGTTAGCCTATTAAACGCTTAAAAACCTACACCCGAACTTCGGACGGGAGAGAGAACGCAACGGAGACCTAAGAAAGCAACCGTGCTCTCTATAATAACTACCACTAAAACAAATACCAAGAAACACGAGATTAATTCCCAAATTGGAACAGCTCATTGGTGGTAGGACCTCTTGTGAGTCCGCACGGGTAGGTACCACCACCCTGCCTGTTTCTTTCGTGAAGCGGTAATGTGTTTCGGTTTGAAGGGTGGGGCAGCCGTTGTAACTATACTGAGACCTTAGAACTTATGTCTCAAGGTGAGTGGCGCATTTACGTTGTAGATGTCTATGGGCTCCGGTAACCACTTAACACCAGGTGGGCTGTGAACTCGTCCAACCATCTAAGCAATAAAAAAGCCATTTTTGAACATACAACACTCGTAATATAATTTAGACTTCTCAAAAAAGCAAAAATTACGTTTTTTCTCATATGTAATATCATCAGACATAAATAGCTTTGTACAAAATCGAAGATATTTGCAAACACGATTGATTGATTGATTTGAATACATATTGCTTGTTCCTCAATCTATTCACAATATTACTTACTTCACTTTATCGTCACGTTACTTTATCCTTGGAGTTATGTTTAGATAACAAGCGTTACAATAGTTAGTACTACTAATTGGATACTAGGCAACCAGAATGTGTTTCTTAGTAACGAACGCTTGTAGCGGTCAAATCGTATACCAATTATTGGCAATTGAAAATATTTAATCTGTTCAACACCAGTTTGTAGCAACTTGGTCTCGGCGTACCAATTATGACAGCGGTTCATATTAATTTATATTTAGGTCAAAAACATCGTACACAATTTCGGCTCTAAATATGCAATAGCAGGATTCATATTTTACATGAGCATGGGGAGATTTAGCGAAGCTTTATCTTGTAATAAGTACCTGTTAATTAAAATCATTTTGTACCATCCCCAATTGGGCAAATTGTATATTGTTTTCAAAGAGAAATATTTTCTCTCGTATATATTATATTAGGGGTTGAAGTATGAAATTGCCGATTTGTACTGAAAAATTCGAAATATTGCACATTTTTTTTAAAGAAGAACCCCATAAATACCATTTGAAAAAAGGTTCCCTCAAAAACCTCAAACCATGAAGGTTCTATGTCAATTCGAGGTACCTATTACAATAGAACGACAATTTCATACTTTTAACCCCTATTATTAAGCTATCAAACTCATACGATTTTTTATTATAATAGATTTGCAACAACGCAGCATTTGTGTGTATCATTTTGAAGTATCCGTTACTTAATAGGTTCCCCCGAAGCACTCATAATAATAATGCAATTACATATGTCATGGTTCGGTTCTAGCACAGGTCTCAATATTTCTCTTAAGTAACAAAACTCATGCGTTTGGGGCTAACATGAAAGATAAAGTGATTTCATGTATGTAATAAAAACTAAACCAACACAAGATCCGGCACGAAACTCGGTGGGTTTCTGCTGTGAGCTAAGTGTCACAAGTATGGCCCTTTGCTACTAGCGTTATAACCAGTATTATCGGAGAGCACCGAGTATAGATCAAGTGAATCCATCATGGACGTCTCTAAGGCGACAATGGTGCTTGGCCTCTGCATGAGCCGGATCCGGATAGCGATAGCCACAACAATAGGGTTGTTGTATTTCACTGCTCTCATGGAGAAGTTTCAATGCTGTACTTTGTTCCTCATGGGTTCGAGACCTAGGTCATTTCCAGCCTTTTTATCGCTTCTAATCGCATCGTATGGCCACTATTTAGAGTGCAACACCTCCCATAGACACAACCCACTTACGTTTTCACAGAATCTTCTCAGTGGGTCTCAATTTCGATCTGATGATAAATTCTGCGAAGCACTGCCTGCGGGACTTGAACACCGGCACAGTTACATCGCTTGTTACAAATGCACCTGGACAACTTCAAGTTAGCAAGCTCTCTCAGGTTGAGCCCCGTGAGCTCTCCTACCCGGCCATGCATAGTTGGAATAGATAGCCCCTTAGGCTACCGAAAATTAGGTAAGAAAAAATACAACACCAATAAACTGTCAGTTTTAAGTTGAGACACTTTTGTTTGGATCAAGTATTTTTGAAAATCTTAGTTCTTACCTCCTCCCATGTCAGTATAGAGCTCTCGACTGCGCTGATCCACATGTCGCCAGCGCCTTCGATCACCCCGTGTCGCCCACCCTCTTCGGAATGCTGAAACAAGTGTGAAAACTCTTTAGACCTTAGTTTACTCAGAGTTCATACGAATCGCTATCGTGATTTAAACAGTATCGCGTTGTAATTTCGTACTAATAAAACGTACGATGTTTATTAAAAATATTGGGTGCATATTTAAATAATAAAAATTAACTTAATGTGTACAAATGACATTATGCTTTTAGTGGGTGTATTTAAGTTACGATATTTTGTCGTTTATAATTAGAGTATTGAAGATTTTAATACAATTATATAGATTTGTAGGTTCATATAATATATGTTTAGTTCATTTGAACGTAGTTAATTCGATTACGTTGAAACTTAATTCAGTTAGCGTATTTATTTGAAACAAGGGTTTTGGGTGAGCATCGTCAAAGTAAAATAGATAAAAAGAGGGGGCGGGGGGGTTAGTTTTAAGAATTTTTTGTTTTGTTTTTAATATTCAAGTACTACAGAGGCGAGTGACGGGCATTTCGAAAATGCTTTTGAAAATTGCTTTTAACGTTTTCTTGTTGTTCTTGGAACGAAGTTCCTTACGGCAGGCTTGGAGGGGATTTTTTTTTTTTTTTTGGTCAGGAGGAAATCGCCGGACTTCCGCCCTCCACTGGGGATAGAGGGCGGAGCATGTCAGAGTCGAACTGACTAAAACCTCCTGTCGCTCAACAACCAACGTCCAAACCTCGCATGAGACAGAACTCATGAAGAGGCAAAGGGGGGAAAGTGAAGCGTTTAGTGCGGAGCACATCTCTCCCATCACCCTCCCCCTCGGGACGCCGGACCGGCGGTCGTCGGCGCCACGACCACCAGCCCTCTCGGTTGGAAGGGATAGGGACTTTGCTGCGCGACCGAACTGAAAAAAATGTGATAGTAAAACCGTAAGAAAAAATCCGTGGAAAAAAGTGCCTGGAAAAAATCCGTGGAAAAAAGTGCGTGGAATAAAACCGTTAAATGAGACGTGCGCAGGCGCGACAGTCGTATACGTAAGCGAGTAGTGTATAATACCTTTCTCTTTCTCCCTCTTTCTTTTCTTTCTCTCATCCCTTCTCTCTCTATTTTGTAATTATTTCTATTTCTATGTAATTTTATGTTGTCAAACAAAAATAAAGAGACATATTTTGTTATTTTAATTGATAATTTGAATTACGATTTTATTTTTATTTTACGTAATTTATTATTTCCTAAAATACTGAATTTCCTAAATACTTTCCTGTACTTAAATAAAAACTAATCAGCAAAATTTAAGAGAAAAATCAAGAAAACCAACATAAAATTGAGCACGATATTTTTTTTGCTAATTGTGTCGATTCTACATTAGCCGAAGGAACTTCGTTCCTACCTGGTGTCCCACGACACCACATTTTTTTTTATTTTTGTTTAGCGCCAACTACGCTCTACTTCTTTACGCTTTCGTCTTCCACACAAACAAGCAAAGTGACTCTATAGCAGGGAATGTGGTATAGAATATCACACAAAGGATTCAATGATTTTTAAAGAAAGATGTAATAATAAAAAATTTAAACACCATTATGTTTTAAAAGTTTGTTTGTACACTCAGATTTATATTTATCTACATAGAAGATAACATATACGACGTCTGATAAATAATTAGCGAAGCGGCACACATTGCCCGATAATGCTAGAAGGAACTGCCACGCTTTTACATAAGCCGAAGTTGTTTAATTTTTTATTAATTTTGCCGAAAGGATAAAACAAGATCGAAAACGTTACTCAATTCTAATTTGTAGGATAGTCAGGCAGACGATAAGCTTGCGACCTGGTTACGTTCATAAGCCCGAATTAGTTCTTGTATAAAAAATAGGATGACCGACCATAAAAAAGTTTTGAAGTCTTGCACTAAAGGTTAAGACTGGCTGTATGCGCATCGAAGCAATCGACTTATGTCGGTGTTCGAATTCCGCATAAAGGTAGATGATGAGATACATAGTTTAAAAATGTTTAAGAATCGCTTCCACGGTGAAAGTAACATCTCTAATTACAGTATTGTAGTCAAAGAGGGTAGATACCACTAAGCTGTCCATTTCCCAGCAGTAACACTTCTTAGTGTCAAGAGTAGGCCAACCGTCATAGAAAACAATTGAGTTTGAGACGGAACCATCTTCCAGGATCTCGTTAGGCCCCGACACCTCTTTGGCATCGGGGCACTTAGGGAAACATGAAAAATCCAGTTTTAGTACATCATAATGGACCTTTTTTTCCCCTTCTTATGTTGATAGCCTTGAGAGGTTTTTTTTTTATTGCCTTTGTAGGCAGACGAGCATACGGCCCACCTGATGGTGAGTGGTTACCGTCGCCCATGGACTTCAGCAATGCCAAGGGCAAAGCCAAGCCGCTGCCTACCAACCTGCCTTATATCAGCGTTACCCTATCGTATAGGTGAACTCTCGGAGATCAAACCGGAGGTGTTGCTAACACTGGCCCTAGCAAGACCAGTGCTTCGCAGAATCTACTACCGGATCGGAAACGCGACCCACTGACATGATCCGGCGAGAAACTCAGTGGACTGTGTCTATGGATGAATTTACTCCCAAGCGACGGGTTCGGCGAGGAATAATGGACCAAAAACGTGTCGTAAAACATGAATATCCAAGACGGTTTAAAATCATTAACCGTACTCGCCAAGCAGACCGCCAGACAGCTGTACAAACTAGTTCAGAGCGAACGGAGTATTATAATAGTATTCAAACTTTTCGATTCTGTTTAATTAAAATTTTCCAACATTTCCATAATTACTTCAAAACATAGATAGATAGACAAACATAATAATTTTATACAAAATTGGGAGTTTTTTTAGATTCTATTTTAATTTGCATGGATTTATTATTTATTTGTATTTTGTTTAGGTTTTTTATTTTGTTTAGTTTATGTACATTTTTATTGCTACTCTAACTAGTGTTAGCAAATTTATATTTTCATGAATGCTATATTTTCTTGTAATTTAGAATGAGGTAGTAAATGTTAAGAAACATTCATAAATATTTTAACAAAATTTGTATCATCCATAAATAGCTTTATTGGCTCAAAAAACCTGTCTAAATGTTTGATAGGCTGTGCGTATTAATTAAGGCGACGTGTTTGTCTGTTGCAAGAACAGCAAATAGTAAACATAAGGGTTAGGTGACTGACCTTCGGTATTCAATTTAAAGGAGAGAAATCGCAATACGATTCACAACCAAACTAGTTAAAGGCTAAACTATTTTAATAGTCCGAGAGGCCAAGCAAAGAATGCGCAATGTATTACTTCAACACATTGTAAGTACTTGTCTGTGGGAAGAAACTTGCGTGCGCCGAAAAGCAATGCGCACACAGCTGCACTAGTCCGGCCGTCTGCAATTGAGTATGCAATTTCGAAAAGGGCACATGTCGCATATTTTGTCAAATACGTTTTTTTAAATACATGTAGTTTTGAGGCTTACCTACACCCATTTTATAATAATTCCAGTAATTTTCAATTGCTAATTAACACTAAAATATATCTCAATAGTCAATATTTAAAATTTTACACTGCTGTAGAAAATAATCTGTTTTTTTCATTTCCTGAACATTTTACATTTTCAGAGATGTCCAGTGCCCTTTTCGAAATTGCATATCTATATATTAATACGTGTAGCAAAAACTTTTTATCCCTTTTTACGAAAATTGCGCGGACGGAGGAGTATGAAATTTTCTACACTTATAGAGAATATAGAGAATATAGAGAAGAAGAAGTGCACAATGCAAATATTTTTTTAAAATAATGCATAAAATATACATTAAATAAATAAAGAAAACATTACACACACTACATACCATGTATTTGACGCACACACGCATGCATACTATTTATTGTCAAACTTTTGTTCTTGACGTCCGTGGTCAAATTGAGAATAAATTAAATATTGTTTGTCTTTGTTAATATTTTTTATAGTGTAGTCTTGACGAAATTTGTGATTATAGAAGTATAAAATACAATCATAATAGTGTACAAACTTACAATTCCAATTAATTATAGTCGAATTTCAACTACTGCGGGACCTCTAGTTCAATTAATTTGACGTAGAGTCGATACGCATCTAAGGCTAACCGCACATACACCATGATATTGTCAATATTATTGTATGTGTGCGACCCGTATTTTGGTATTGATCAATTGTGTTGTGGATTTCTAGAAATTTTGATTTTCTTGCGGCAATGTCGGGGGAGGCCAATAATATTGTCGTGTGCGGACTCGCTACAATATTTTAGTAGAGGGAGACCAAAGTCCTCCTCTGCTTCCAATTTTTTTTTTTTTTTTATTCTATATATGGGTGGACGAGCTCACAGCCCACCTGGTGTTAAGTGGTTACCGGAGCCCATAGACATCTATAGCGTATATGCCGCCCCCTACCTTAAGATATGAGTTCTAAGGTCTCAGTACAGCGGTTGCCCAGCCCTTCAAACCGAAACGCATTACTGCTTCGCGGCTGATATAGGCAGGGTGGTGGTCGTGCGGACTCACAAGAGGTCCTGCCACCAGTTATTACGCAAACCGTCTACCGACTAAAACCCCAGCGAGCTCCACCACTCCGATTCCACGAAACAAACCTGCCCTGATAATAGAACTTACTGTGGTCGTGTGTCGAATCAAACACGCAAGAGGCACGACCGATTCATTCACACACAGCTGGCAAATGTTATTTATTAATGATAAATAAATTTTTACGATAAATTACTATCAAACAATGAAGTGGAACAATTGCATTATTTTTTTCATCGTTCATTTTTTTTTTTTGTTTCACATTTATTTAATCAGTGTTTATTTTATTTCAGTTCGTTTACTTAAGACTCGTCGTTAGTTTGAATACATATCGTTAAAACGATTATTATTATTCAGTTTCAAGGAAAATAAATACCTTTCAATTGTAATTAAATTTTTTATTCATTTTGAATTCTTTAATTGACTCGATTAGTTATATCGCAATCCTATGCCTGTGAGGGAATAATCAATGAATAAACGGTGATCGGCAATGTTTCCGATTGCGATGGACATTTTTGACTAAACGCAATGTATACATTTAAAAATAAGCTGTGTGCTTAGTGAGTTTTTTAACGTTCTCGATAGCGAAAAAGTTAACTTAAATTTGTATGCAGTTGGAACAGCGCCCCTAGCGGCAAACGTAGGCAAACGTTCCAGCTACACACTGGGGACGTCCGCAGTTGTCTTCACTCTAGCGACTCTAGTACGGTTAACGAAATATAAAATGGTAAAAACGATATACTTGCTTGGCTAAACTAAATGAACGCTGTTCTCCTTTAAGTCGAAGATGAGTCAATATCGGCGGTAATGCTTTCTGATGGGCACATATCAACGGTGCTATAATAAGAATTAACATTGATTTTTTTACAGTACGCGATGAAAATTATTATATATTTTAATGAGAAATATTGTTCAAAAACTTAATATTAAAAAGTATATTATATTTATATCTTTTCAAAACTCTTTACATTATCAAGGTATGGCTGAAAACAAATATACTATTTATAGAAATAATTTTAACTGAACAAGCACATTACCTTTCTAAAAAGCCTCCTTAAGAAATAATTTAAAATCAGTAAACGCATTATTGAAAACGTATTCAATGATCACAGTCTTCAATCGATTAAACTATTCGTGTCACGTCGCGACATTTTTTTTTACAAAAAACGCACGTCCGCGCCTTACCGCTTCGAGAGAGCGACTGAACTTCACTGAACTTATCTAACATTGCGAATTGCGATTATAAATTAAACATGCTGTTTATCGAATAACGTACATACAGGCTGTTGCGAGATTTTTTACAATATTTTATTTATTATATGACTGTCTTATAATCACTCTGGTCCGATGGCTGGTTTTTTTTTTTGTTTGCCTCNACGCACGTCCGCGCCTTACCGCTTCGAGAGAGCGACTGAACTTCACTGAACTTATCTAACATTGCGAATTGCGATTATAAATTAAACATGCTGTTTATCGAATAACGTACATACAGGCTGTTGCGAGATTTTTTACAATATTTTATTTATTATATGACTGTCTTATAATCACTCTGGTCCGATGGCTGGTTTTTTTTTTTGTTTGCCTACCTATGCTAGTAACCTCGAGGGGGTATTCTAGCTTTACAGGACGTGTGGGTGAGCTCACGGGGTTCAGCCTTGCAAATTTGCTAACACTAGCCTCTGCAAGGCAGATGACTCTGATAACCGTATTATAGTATAGGGACTTCCACCTAAAAGCGAAATAAAGTGTCCCTTCGTAATAAGGTTACACTACAAAACTTGCATACGCACCGTCATGACCTATAACAAGCGTAGTGTTCGCTCACGCGGCCCGCACCAACTTGAAACCCCTTCAAGTCATTCAATCCCGTTTTTGCAGGATAGACGTCGGAGCACCATGGTTCCTAAGGAACGTGGATCACCATGATGACCTGGAGCTTGACTCAGTCAGTAAGTATCTTCAGTCGGCATCATTGCGCCACTTTGAGAAGGCGGCGCGACATGAAAGCCCTCTTATCGTGGCCGCCGGTAATTACATACCCGATCCTGTGGACCGAATGGTAAACAGTCGACGTCGCCCTAAGCACGTCATTACGGATCCTCCTGATCCATTAACGGTGCTTTTGGTACCTCAAGGACTGGTCACCGTCCTCGCCTAACCCGTCGCTTGCGACGAAGGGATCGACGAGTAAATTAACCCATAGACACAGCCCACTGAGTTTCTCGCCAAATATTCTCAGTAGGTCGCGTTTCCGATCCGGTGGTAGATTCTGCGAAGCACTGCTCTTGCTAGGGCCAGTGTTAGCAATACTCCCGGTTTTAGCAATACTCCCGGTTTTAGCCCCGTGAGCTCACCTACACGTCAAGGAGAAGCTAAAATAGCCTCTCAAGGCTATCAGCATAAGTAGGAAAAAACAACCTGTATAAGAAAGTCGCAGAGATTTTTAACAAGTACCTACAGAACATCAATGGGCACTCAATAAATACAATCTCCAAGTCTATGTGGATTTGAAAACAGATTATGGTTACCGATTGTGTGTGTGCAACGTCACACCCATATCATGAGATACATATCTTCGGCATTTATAAAAATCATTACATTTTTCAGTCGTAATGTGTGCTATGTCTTGGATAAGTTTAGATGACATTTCGCGCCGAAAACAATAGTGCACTCATATCGTTTTGTACTAGACTTCTCGAAACGGCGGAAGGTTGAATTCGTCGTGGCCTAAAGTATAAGATGTCCGGTGCATTCGTGTCAAGCGACGCACCGGTGTTCGAATCCCGCAGACAGGGTACCAATTTTTCTAATGAAATATGTACTTAACAATTGTTCACAATTGACTTTCACGGTGAAGGAATAAACATTCAAATGTGTAATGTGTAATCTCTATATATAAAAATGAATTGCTGTTCGTTAGTCTCGCTAAAACTCGAGAACGGCTGAACTGATTTGGCTAATTTTGGTCTTGAATTATTTGTGGAAGTCTAGAGAAGGTTTAAAAGGCAGATAAATATGAAAATGCTGGGAATTAAATAAAAATAACAATGTTGTTTTTCCTTTGCTGTGTTCCCCGTCAGTCTTTTATTTATTGATTGAGGCACTACAAAGTCTGCCGGGTCAGCTAGTGTGTAATAAAAATCAAACGCGCAAAATTATAATTAATGTAATTACTGGTGGTAGGACTCTTGAGAGTCTGCATGGGTAGGTACCACCACCCTCCCTATTTTTGCCGGGAAGCAGTAATGCATTTCGGTTTGAAGTGTGGGGCAGCAGTTGTACTGTTAAAACTGAGACCTTAGAACTCATGTCTCAAGGTAGGTAGCGGCATTTACGTTGTAGATGTCTATTATGGGCTCCGGTGACCACTTAACATCAGGTGGGTTGTGAGCTCGTCCACCCAAATAAACAATAGAGAAAATAAAAAATAAAAAATTATAGGAGATGAAAGAGCTAGGTATCCATGCATTTACTTTTTCTTAATTTTTTTTAATCATGTGTATGAGTTAAACTCATGTCCCTAATAGGGATTCAATGATTACCAGCCCACAGACATCAAAAATGTTAGTGTTTGACTCTAATGATCTAATTGACTGATGAATCAGGCTTCATATTTCAAGTTTAACTTAAGATATGAAGTCTAAATCTCAGTTGTATTATATAGCAACTGTTCAGGTGTGGATTTCTGCTTTGCAGCAAAAAAGTGCAGGGTTATGTTACCTACATATACAGACACACACTATGCTCTACCATGCCCCTACCACCAACAAAAAAAAAAAGAATCATATTTATCATTGTTATGTTAATCTTCACGTCTGTCATGTGTAATTATTTTTTTATTGTTTATTGACATTTAAGTTTAATTGTGTGACTATGAAGGCTAGTCCTTACTCATGATTGAAATTTACGAACCTTAAGATTAAGATCACCTAAGATTAAGCTGCAACATAATATTGATCAAGTTTATATTTGTCTTTTTTTTTTCAAATTTTTATAAGATAGCTGATTATGACTTTGAATAATGTTTATCTATATGTGTTGCAAGTGTTCCATAAAAATAAAATTTTATATCTCAATAAAATTTAGAGTACCTATTGATTAATTTGCAATTTTAAACTCACAGAGAACTATAACCATAGAAACTGATATACTATTATGATATATATTATTATGATAATAGTCTAACTGACTTCAACAGAGATACTTTTAAATTTAAACTTTATTTTCTGAACAAACAAACTCTCTTTTATCAATCTGCACAGAAGGTTGTTGTTCTCCTTTTTACATATTTAGTAGATACCAATAACTGAATAAGATATAACAGAGATTATAAGATTTTAAACATTTCTGTTCTTTTTCTGTTGAAATACTTTGTTCATTCAAATGCATTCAATTTGTACTTAGTAATTGTATTATTTTAATTGATTTGCTTGGAATTAATTTTCTTTGGAAGATTTTGTTTTTATTAATATTTAAATAATTATTGTAAGTAATTGTAATTTAAGAATACCCTTTATTTTGAATCAGCAATTCATTTAAAGCAAACAATTTGAATAATTGGATAAAGTATTTCTACATAAATTGAAAGTGATATTTTTGTGGCAGTCCGCGGCGTATTATTATTTATTAATTATGTTAAACGAAAGTTTGATTTACTTTCACACAATTATAACATAATGAAAGTAAAATCTCCTTGATGTTAATTTTTGTCAACATTTTCATTCTCAAATCATGAATACGTAACAACGTTCAATAATCATGATCATTTTTATTTAAATTAAGCGATTCAAGGGATTTTTCTTTCAATACAACGTATCGACCAACAGCAAAGTAGCCAACTAATATAAATCTTCAGATAATTCTTCCAAAATATAGTACCCGCGTCATCGTCTTTTTTCACCTAGCATGTACTAGAACACTCTCCACTAATGACTAACACCTACAAATCAATAATATCAAGTCTTAACAAACAAAATCGATAATTTCAACAAAGCAACTCACCACACTAGCGGTGTCTTGGCTGCCTAGCGAGTGCTTATCCGTTTCTTTACCAATGGTTTCTTTAGAAAAAGGTTCATATTTACGTGTCGGACTATTTCTCATTGTTCACACACACAATGCCTAAAGATTTAGGCCCCGATAGACATTTTTTCCCAGAAAAGACGACACGAATCAACGAGAAAGAGAAGTCTACTGAAATATATCAAGCAAGTGACATCCCCAATCAAGTTACATTTTTTTATTTGCGTCGTTAAATGTACAGACACAGAAAACATAGCCCATACAGCTATATATTTTGTAACGAAGTTTAATCTAGGGAAAGCGAAATGGAAGGGATTAAATATAAAAAGAGAAATACTGTTGGTGTTGGATGAGATGAGAAGATATATGCTGGGAACTTATTAAAAGTTCAATGATTTTTTTGTTTAAAAATTTACGTCCAGTTATTTCATTTTCATTTTCTTACATGCGCATTCACAAATATTAAAAATTACATAATAAGCCACCGTTAATAAACTGAGTATCAAAACATTGAATCGATTAAACAATTTACAAATTGTCATTCCTCGCATTTTCAGCCAAAAAATCGAACAGACCTAATAATAAGCTATTCCATATCGAGTTATAAGCATCCACAAAGCTATAAACGAAAAAGCAAGTACTTGCCTTCCCACCAGTGGTACCAGATTATTTATGTTCATCAGTCTATATAAACAATGCTTTCACCAATGAATAAAGCAATTAATTGTATATTTTCTTATAGTGAACAACTAAGAAACATCCGCTAATACGTCCTTACAATTAACATGATTACCATCTAATTGTAAAATAGGCCAGAAGTCTAATGTGAGAAACTAATATTGTCTACTACTATTTTGGCCTGTCTATATCTTCATTGTAATTTCTTACCTCTACATAGCCCAATTAAAATAGAATTAAATTTTTATTCTCTCCTTCCTCCTTCCATTCATTCCTATAAAAGTAAGTAAAAGTATATTCTAAGCTTTATACACTTTGAGAAGGCGGCACGATACGAAAATCCTCTTGTTATGGCCGCCGGAAATTACATACCCGATCCTGTGGACCAATGGTAAACAGTCGACGTCGCCCTAAACACGTCATTACGGATCCTCCCGGTCCATTAACGGTGCTTTTAGGTACCTCAAGCACTGGTCACCGTCCTCGCTGAACCCGTCGCTTGCGACAAAGGACTCGAGGAGTAAATTAACTCATAGACACACACACTTGAGTTTCTCGCCTGATCATCTCAGTGGGTCGCGTTTCCGATCCGGCGGTAGATTCTGCGAAGCACTGCTCTTGCTAGGGCCAATGCTAGCAACACTTCCGGTTTGAGCTCCGAGAGGTCACCTACACGCTAGTGTGAAGCTGAAATAGCCTGTCAAGGCTATCAGCAGTAGCATAAAAAAACAAAGAGCTAACTAACTAAAACTTTTAATTGCTTAAACCATCGCAAAATTATTTCAAAATCGATTGCGATAACAGTATCGAAGAGACAAAATAAATGTCAAATATGATTTACTACACTATAAGATCACTTTAGTCTACCCATGATGAGATAATATGTCATAAAAGCATTACAATACTAAAATAATTAAAAACTTAATAAAAATAGCGTTTAATATTCTGCTATTTTTTTAAATGGCTGTTTTCAGTTCTTGCGTGTTACTTGGTGATCAAGAATTATAGAAAAGAAAGAGTTTATGTGAAAAATTATCAAAATTCAAAGTTACATAATTATCTGAATAAAATTTGGTCCTCCATTCTGTGCTCAGAATTAATTTATACTCTAGCTACATTTTGTCACAACGATGATTGATGACATTGATCAAGTAAGCTATAGTCTGACAAACTCTTTTGACATTGATGACGTGGTGATTTATCACGGTTTAATGTTTAATGAAATGAAAACAATCAGAAATGTTAAAAAGCTTACATATCCATAATCTTTGGAGTCCGTATCCCACAGCTCTATTTTTGTGTATTCTTTGATTTCCCTGTTCGGCACATTTTTGTATTGCTTGCGGTTCATTTAAAATACTTTTAAAGCACTTTATTGGTATTGGGTTCGACACTAGTTATCCAATTTTTAACCCAATTTTACACTGAATGTTAAATTAAAGTAATGTTTAAAACCTTCACTACTTCAATAAATTATTAACTAAAATTTCACTGGATCAACTACTATCATACACTTCATTTAATCATAAATACGAATGAGCACATGTTCATTATTATAATCATGGAAAATTTGTATTTAGTAGCTAATTTTCAAAACTACTTAAGGTTTGACGTCAAAATGCCACGATTAATACATTGAAAATGTGATTTTACGTAGTGTGTAAAAGCGCGCATGGAGTTATCATTATCGCTGCAACGGTGATAAACAGATTTCGTGGTTTATCTACGTTTTTACTAACTTTGGGCTTGATTGAAAATGGCTTATATTTATGAAAATAATATTTAAAAATACAGGTAGATGATGTCACAACCCAAACATTATCATGAAAATAAAGGAAAACGAATAAAATGTGAAATTTTCATATTTTTGGTAACTGAACATCTAAATATCAGCGTCAATGTTCTTAAATAATAATCAAATTCAAATCATAGGACTAAAAATCAATGAAGGAAATGACACACCAAAAGAAGAAACAGAAATATTTCTTTCTATGATATGTAGGTACGTGATGAATGTACTACTTACTGGATAATTATATAACACAAAGAGGATTGAAATGCAGCCGGTCGTAAAATGTATGCCAGGGATTTGGCGTATGTAGTACGTTAAGAGGATATACTTCAAGGAAAAAAGAACAAGAAGCTAGCACGAATGATTTTAAGCGATTATCGGAGCCCATAGATATCTAATTTAAGCACGATTGAAGTCTGTTACAATTAGAGGTTCCCTTCTTAGCAGAGATATCATATAAATGTTAGCAGAGATATCAGCACGGCCCCTATCCATCGATGCGGCCAGTACATAATAGATCAAAATAGGAATTAGGGCTCTAAATAAAATGATTGTTTAAAAAAGAGGTGAGCATTTTGAATGAATGGAAAGCAGTGGAAGTTCAAGGACAGGATCACAGTGTTTGCGGAATGGTTTTTATAGTTATGAAAATAAAAAATCACAATCATCCTAGTAAGCCATTGACAGACGCCACAACGCGACTAACAAACAGTCTTAATGAAATACGTGAGATCAATTTTGGTTAAAAACCGGAATGCACCTTGAAGATCATTGAAAAAACGAGTTGCAATAGTGTCTCAAGATCCTGCTCCTAAAACTCTTTTATGTGTTCTATTTATTTTATAGCATCTAATGAAACTCAGGGATACTCGCAGGAATACCAGCAATTTTGAACGCCTTGTGTTGACCGGTAAAATCGAGGGAAAAAGTCTCCCTAATATATATAGTTTATAAATCAATACCTACAATATTACATTCGATAAATTTTATGACTAACTGCACGTCACTATTGACAATACAGAACACCAGTTTGCTCCATCAAATGCACTGAAGTATGAAATTCAAATGTAATTACTATTAATACGAGACTTCATGAGTGGACAAACGTGAAAACGGCCATCATAGCGTGCCGGTAGAATAATGATGATGAATGAATGGAAAACAATATTTCTATAAAAACACTTTTTGTTTTAATAAGTTGGGATTTCATGTTTATCTTTATGTATAATATCGTTCATACCACTAGCAGATACCTCAAAATTTTACGTACTTAAATAAAACAGAAGCTCACTAACATGATTTATTTAAATAATTCCTATTTACACAAGACAACACCAGATTTACGCCTTGAGTGCATCTTGTACTCCGAAGCCAGGCCCTGTGGGTTCTTCAGTCAGCGAGGTCAATCCTCCGAGAGGCTCGGACGCGAATCTTCCACTCCTGAAATTACATGGACGTAAAAAAATAAAAAACTTCATTAGTTTGTTCAGTGTTAAGAAATTGTCATAGACAATTAAACAATATTTAGACACCCATCTCTAGACGTGAGATCAAACCGTTAATTTCATTGGCAAAAAAGGAAATGCATGTTTGATTTGCAGTACAGTTAGCATATTACACAGGCTCACAACATGCTGGAGACTCGTATGTCAATAATAGGTTACGAGGCCAACTTAATGATACTTAATGATATTTAATATTTATTAATTTAATATGTAAAATATAAAATTTAATACATATTAAATTTTATATAAAATATAAAATTTAATACATATTAAATTTTATATTTTTTAAATATTTTAAAATACTTAATACCTTATGATCCTAGCACATTTTTAACACTATTCACACTGTCATACATAAAAATAATTGTTTTTAATGTGTATTCAATAGTTCATATGCATCAATTATCACACACCAGAAGAAGTGGGTTACAGATTGTCAGTATCTAAAATATGAGAAATTGAAATACCTGGGCCCAGGTTTTGGTTTCTCGTCCTTCTTTAATTTGCTGATAATTTCTTTTGTATCTTCTACAGACAGGTCCTCCTGTAACAAAACATTTCATTTATTAATCAGCCTCTTTTTTTATTAAAAAACCCTGTAAATGTTTAATGTGAATTAGCTTCATTGTGATTTAAACTCAATGCAATTTGACGAAGAAAAATATCAGTCAGAAAACGAAACTAAAAAGACGCAGACATATTATACTACTATGGAATTTAGCTTGCGAGAGAATAAGATAATATATTTCTACAGGTTTCATTTCTACATGATTGAGATGCGTTACACCTGATTTTTATATGGGTTATACAGATATTTTAAACAATTTACGTATTACTACATTGACTACATGACTACAATACTTTAGAATCATTTGAAATGTTTGATCAAGGATATAAGAATTTATATCAGTAATTTTTTAATTTACTTACAGATAAATATAATAACTTACATAGTAATCATCATTGACTTGTATCATTGGGGCGTTCACACAAGCCCCCAAACATTCAACCTGAAATAAATAAGTAATGTGAAATGAATCTCAAAGCACATTAACAGTGAGTAACCGTAGTATCTTTTAAATTATCTTTATACATATTATATTTCCAATTATAGGCATCGGTAACAAGCTAACAACTATCAGTACTTAGAACTTTGTATTATGGACATACTTTATGTTAGG